AAATGTGTTTGTCTATATTTGAAATAGAACTAGATCGCAATTGTATTTTCAATTTCAGAACAAGTAATTCTTTCCTTTTTTATTACAGTCATCAAGTAACCATATATAACTACATATAGACAAAGAGAGGGTTGTATGGGGGCAGCAATTATTAATGGACATCACTGAATGATAAATAAAGAGCTAGCTCAGAACTGGTATTCACTGCACACAGATGTCTGGACCATGGGCAGATGTCTTAAATTGTCTACACAAAGCGCTTTTGTGCTATCACAGTGATCTAAATTGCTTTGCATTTGGTTCCAGACATTTCCACCCACTGCTCTCCACCACACATAAATTCCTATTCTCAAATCCTAACTGGGCTTCAAGGGCCAAATTACGTCCTAGTATAACTCTTTTGAGTAATTTAACTCAGTTTTATTGATGCAGGCAAATTTTGAGTCTGGTTTTCTCAATTACAGGAGATCTCATACACACCTGCGTAGGTTATGATCCTGGTTCTGGGGAGGATATCCACTACTCCTGAAGCTCCATGATGAAGGAGACAAAAGGATGAGCAGGAAGAAGGTGAGGTGATGACACGGCTTCTTGCATGCTCTGTGTACAAACCAAGATACGCTTCTAAAGACATTGTGGTCGTGCTCAACACTCTGGGGGGAGAGACTTGCTTTAAACATCCTGCTGTACCCTGTTCAGAAAAAAAAAGGACTACCAGACCCTACCTTCCAAAGCTTTAGCTCAGGATCTCCTTCCTTTTAAATATGCTGGTCCCTGGTTTAATCTGTGAATTGCCAGCTGTCAATTATCATACCTTCTGCCCTTGACTACAGGGGAGCTCAATGAAAACCACCCATAACTCTGAGACAAGCAGTTTCCTGACTCTCTGGGGATCTTAAGACCTACTGCGCTCCCACAGCAGGACTGCGCTTAACTGCAAATCAAGTCAGTGATGATTTAGGAAATCATTCACATCCCCAGAGGAGGCATATCTTGCAGCAGAGACAGCCCAGCATAAGTTGCTGAGTTTTAGTTAATGGCCTCATTCTATCTAATGTGTCTGCTCTTGCAGATATCACTTACAGATGAACTGTGTGTTTTCTGTCTCCCCATATCTTTTTACATGGAAAATGTTTGAAATAGGCTAGCACATACACTGTCTAGGAACAGATTCATGGGAGGAGAAGGAAACAGAGACACAGATGGACTAGTAGTTTGAGTACCTTATTTTGCACTGCAACCCTGTGAAGAAAATCAGGGATACATTTCCTGGTGGACATTTTACAAGGGTCACTTTATAAGGGTGAGATTACAAAATTGCTTTGAGTTTTACTATTCCTATTAGCATAGAATTATCTTTTGTGTTAATTTAGCATGCATTCTTGCATGCAGTCAAAATAGCTTTTGGGGTGTACTTAACAGACATATTAGATTGTATGGACCTCCTTTTCTCCTTCTTGCTCTCTGCTTGCTGTGGGAGAGCTATCAGTTACCAGATAAAAGACTGGTATAATTAAGATATTCTGTTACCTTCACATAGTTGTTAGTACTGAAAGTGTGCATTATACTACATCCTTTCTTCCTCTTCTTGATACTGATTGAGAGGCCAGAAGGAATTTCTTTTCTGTTATATTGGATATTTTGGCCATAGAGTTTGAATAAGCATTTTAGATTTCAGTAATCTTTAGAAAGTAAAACTGCAACAGACGAGACTTCTTCTTGCATTTTAGTTAAGTCAGCTGGTAATTCAGGTTTTGTTGAATATGAATCTCAGATTTATGTGTTATTGTATTGCCTGAAATCATAATTATGGTCCAAGACATGTGCTGCATACTAACAAAAATTAAAACCCCTCCACAACAGCCCAGAAACATAAAAGTGTTTAGGAATTAATCTACATTTGATTGGTAAAAAATAAATAAATAAATAAATAAGGAAACAAAGAGTGTCTATATGGGTAAACTAGATAGGTAATGCTTTCAGTAACACTGTGATAAGGCTGTGTTGTAGCAGGATAATTCTTCTCCCTTTCCAGTATATGGTTGCTAGTTATCATGATCCTGTTTAAATTACACAGAGGGAATAAGACACCTCAGGATTCCACTTTGCCCAGTAACCTCAGCCTGCATGAGAGTATTGGCAGGTCAAAGGATTAGGGGAAACATGGCTGGAATCTGTTTGGGTTGAAAAAACACAGGCAACCTTGCCACTTACCATGTGTCAAGGTTACCATTATTTGGGATGTACTTGTCAACAGTGAAGATCTGCTTCAAGTGTTACACAGAGTTGAAGAAAACTGGAGGAAATCTGAGGCACTTTCCTGGTGGTACCTAAAATCAAGTTTTGGAAAAGTGGAATAACCTTTCTGTAGTATTGTGAAAGCACACTGCACAATAAGATAAAGCCATAACTCAAATGGCCTCAGCTCCAACAATAACAAACAAGGACATGCTATCCAATATTTAAGCCCTGACTGCCTGATCATGGGTTTATTTAGTATAACCCATTATTTATATAGTATCTTTGTTGGCTAGTGCTTCTCAGGAAAACTCTCTGTAAAGTTAAAAATTTATTTTAGAGGGAATTTCAGAAGAAAACAACTGCAACACAAACCAGCTGGGGATAGCACTTGTTTCTGGAGTAAAATCCAGCATTTTGGAGCACAGCAAACTTTGGGTTTCACATTCAATTAACTTTTTTTATACTTTTGAAGATGTGGGACTGGTGTAATGAGGTTATCCGTGACAGCAGCACAAATACACGTCTATTTAAAAAGACCATTTTCGATCTGTGTTATGTTTAAGAACGAATCCTGAACAGCAGCTGCTGTCCCGGCTGCGCTCCCGGGAAGGTACGGGAGCGGAGGGAGCAGCTGGAAGATCCTCCGGCTCCCTCTCCAGGACATCGGGGTTAATTACAAATAAATCCTCCAGGTCTGCGGCTCCTGCAGCCTTCTAATGGGCAATGGAGTGAGCAAACCCCAAATGTCACAGGCACAAGCTTAGGACAGAAGAAGCCCCAATATAAGGTTAGTCTCGATAGCAAACATATAGTGAGAGAGGGATGTGGGTAATTCTGAGTGCTCCTTAGAAATTGCTGCCAAGCTTCTCTTGACAAAGGTGTTTCTAACAGAAGAACAACACATGCTGACATAGAATCACAGAATCATGGAATTATTTGAGTCGGAAAAAACCTCTGAGATCATCGAGTCCAACCGTTAACCCTGCACTGACAAGTCCATCACTAAACCATGTCCTTAAGTACCACATTTAAATCCTTTTTAAATACCTCCAGGGATGGTGACTCAACCACTTCTCTGGGCAGCCTGTTCCAATATTTGGCAACCCTTTTGGTGGACAAATTTTTCCTGATATCCAATCTAAACCTCACCTGGGGAAACTTGGCATGTGAAAGATAAATATTCTTTAAATCTTGGTAAAGCTTCTACAAAATAGATGTATGCACCAAAAAAAAAAAAAAAGGAAATTAAAGGGTTTGAGAAAATGACAGCTGAACTGAATTATGACCAAGAGAAGGAATACTGAATCCTAGCACTCTTTATTACACAAACGACATTGCAGCTATGCTGTTGATGTGGCTATAATTACACACCAATAGTGCTCAGCACTTACAGACAATGTGAATGGAGACCACACTAACCCCTGTGCTCACTCTGTGACCTGGCTACCTTCTGACCAACAGCAGCTCAGCTTAGCAGCTCCAGGAACACTGTACTCCCACACATCATTTATGGTGACCAGAGTGCGCTCATGCTGATGGTGAGAAACCATCACTGATCTGGGCTCGGGGCCAAAGGTATAACTTCTCTGCCTTCAGCATGTGGCAAAGGCAGGGTCTTTTTCTCAGATCTGCTTGTGGTCGGATTCACTTCTCTGCAGTTCTTGGGTTAATTTTCTCCAAATTTGAGGATGATTTCTGCTCTAGAGTGTCCCACAGATCACCTAATAAGAGAGTTCTTCATTTAGTTTGTGACACCCATCAATCTCCAACTGTGTTCCCTTTTACTGTTAGTTTAGACATCTCACCTTAAAGGTTAACAGTTCCTTCTCTATTTTGTTAATCCAGTTACCTTAAAACTGCATTTTATACATTTGCCTCTGGCAGACTTCAGCTGTCCAGGGAAGGCTATGCAAAATCCTCCACAGAGGAGTCAGAGTGTATTGGCTTTGAGTGGCAAGATTTTCGTAGCAGAGGGGCTACAGTGGTGGCTTCTGTGTGAAGTTGCCAGAAGCTTGGCTTCTCCCATGTCCGGCAGAGCCAATGCCAGCCAGGATGGACCCACTGCTGACCAAGGCCGAGCCTGCCAGTGATGGTGGTAAGTGCCTCTGGGATAACAAAGTTAAGAAGGGGGAAAAACCCTATGCAAGTGCAGCCACAAGAGAGGAGTAAGAATACGTGAGACCAACAACCCTGCAGACCCCAACGTCAGTGCAGAAGGAGAGGCAGGAGGTGCCCCAGGCACCAGAGCAGAGATTCCCCTGCAGCCCGTGGTACAGACCTTGGTGAGGCAGCTGTGCCCCTGCAGCTCATGGAGGTCAAGGGGGTCACAGAGATCCACCTGCAGCCTGGGGTAGGTTCATGCCCAAAGGAGGCAGTGACCTCATAGGAAGCCCACACTGGAGTAGGCTCCTGGCAGGAACTGTGGACCATAGAGAGAGGAGCCCTTGCTGGAGAAGGGTTGCTGGTGGAATTTGTGACCCTGCAGGCATCCCATGCTGGAGCAGTCTGTGCCTGAAGGACTGCATCCCGTGGAAAGAGATCCACGTTGGAGCAGTTTGTGAAGAATTGCAGCCCATGGGAAGGACTCATGTTGGAGAAGTTCATGGAGGACTGTCTCCTATGGAAGGGACCCCACACTGGAGCAGGGGAAGAGTGTGAGGAGTCTTCCCCTGAGGAAGAAGGAGCAGAGAGACAATATGTGATGAATCAACCACAGCCCTCATTCCCTGTACCCCTGTGCTGCTGATGGGGAGGAGAGAGAGAAACTGGGAGTGAAGTTGAGTCCAGGAAGAAGGGAGCGGTGAGGGGAAGGTGATTTTAAGATCTAGTTTTTGTGTTTCATTATCCTATGTTGATTTGATTGGCAATAAATTAAGCTAATTTCCTCAAGTCAAGTCTGTTTTGCCCACAGCAGTTGTTGGCGAGTGATCTCTCTCTGTCTTTATCTCAACCCATGAGCCTTTCCTTATATTTTTCCTCCACTGTCCAGCTGAGAAGGGCAGTGACAGAGAGGCTTTAGTGAGCACCTGCCACTCAGCCAGGGTCAGCCCACCACACAGGATGTAGCACAGTAACTCCAAAACAGTGGATTGCATTGTGATTTACCACAACAGCACCAATTATCCTATCCCCTGAAAACCTCATAGTTAGGAACTGGCAACCATAAAAACAGGGAGACCAAGGGACCAAAATAGGAGCAGATTTAATCAGTAAAGCCAATAATCAGGTGATGTGAATTAGAGGTTCATAATTAGGAGGGTAAACAGCTGAGGAGTTTCCTCGGTATAAAGGTGGCAGCCTTTTTATTTAAACCAAGACTGAGAAGTGTTTTGATTTCTATGTAAAGCTTCAGATCACAAAGGTGATTTTTGTTTGTGTGGGACTATAAAGGAAAAAAAACCACAAGTAGATGCTGAGCAAATGCGCAATGAAGTTGAGGCTGGTGCAGAGGTGAGAACTCTATGGCTGCTAAACATAAATTGTCTTAGCTTTTCTAGATGTGACTATGAAAATCCCTTTTTCTGATTTCTGAGTCTAAAGCTGTTGCTCTAAACGTCATACTAATATAAGATTCAGAATAGATCTTTATAAGCAAGAAACATGTTAGCAAGCTGTTATCACAGCTGAAGCTGCTGCTAATCCCTGTCTTCTTTTACAGAGTGCTACTAATAGGTATATTCATCTCTGAAGTGTGGACCCAGGACAGATCAGGTAATGCTGCTACAAACTGATTTCACATCAGTTTCCAGGCTTTTGCATATTTATGTGCGTGTTTCCAAAGAGTCTGAAGCTCTTGTGGCAGCTTTACTTGCACGTTTCCCTGAGAAGTTCCAAACATGCAGGGTTCTACTTGTGGGCACTCTTTAGGTTTATATATTGCCATATTATGCAAATGCCTCTACTTTCTGATTCCAGTAACAAGAACTGAATACTTGCTTCCTCCCTCTAAGAGGTTTGAGAGCTGTAGCCTGGTTTGTGCTGCGGTCATGGCTTGGGACTGGAGCTTCTTAAGCCATCTTCTTTGCTCCTGTGTGGTCTTTTCACAGTATGAGGAGCTGGCTTCTGGTACTGGTACTTGGGCAAGTGTCCAGAGTAGGCTAATGGACAGCTGATGTGGCTGCTTCCTATGCAAACTGACTTGTGGCTCCTCTTGTGAATAGATGTGTAGAGGTGGAGGGGTTTTTGTTGTTTTTTTTTGTTGTTGTTGTTTTGTGATTTGTTTGTGGTTTTGTGGTGGTTTGTTGTTTTTTTTTAAATTGGGATTTTTTGGTTTAGGGGTTGGGTTTTTTTCTTTTCAGGAGTGTGTGGGACTTTCATATTCTGTTTTATTTAATTTAAGGTGTTCAGATTGGGGCAGCCAATCTAGTACCTTTTTGACCCTGTTCCAAAATCCTGTTTCCATGACTGACTGACTGTTGCAGGTAGCATTGGCAGATGATCAGGCACAGTTACTACTAGGATACTAATTTTGGGGCTAGCTTTCTTCTGGAATTATTGCCAGTATAAACACAATCTCTATCACTTCCTGACCAGAGATGCTGGTGTATGACTGTCACAATGCTGACTTTATAGAGCAATCTGGGAAGCAGCAGATTTGTTTGTATCGTATTTTCAATCCCCTACATACCAGCCTTTCTATGCATTGAATGCAGGACCCATGAGATTGGAGTGCTTGGGGAACCTTCTGCGGATAACATTGAGTGCAGAATACTTTGAGGACAAATACTTATCTTTTTCTGTTGTTGGTAAGTTGATATAGAAGAACTTGGAGAGGGAATTACACGTGGCGAAATGTTTAAAGTTCTCTGAGGTCCTTCTATACTAGAATCCCCTGGATTATTTTAATGTCATAGGACTTAGTAGGTTGGACCTTGTTTTAAGTAAAGCCAAATGATACCTTGATTTCTGTATAACCTATCCTGTAGATTTGTTCTGTGATAATTTAGCCATGAGTAGACTTGGTATTGCTACCTTTGAACTCAAATTAAAATGTGTGCAGTAGTTTCTAGACATATCAATGCCAGTGTATTTCCTTCCTGAAGTTCTCCAATAACAGCACATACTATTCTGAAAATTCACTACTTGAAGCTGGCACTACATTACTGACTTTTGCATTAGTGGCTTTTCACCTTCTTGGCTTACAGCTTGGTGGAGCCAAATAAATACTTAATGAAATTTGAGAAAAATTAGCTAGGCCCTCTAGCTATGGGCTTAGTAGTCAGCAAGTGATGCATTTGAGTGAAAAGTGCCACAGAATGCCCTGAAAGGGCACAGTGAGATAGCTTTTAGGCTATAAACACCTGCTCCAAGATATTATATGTATAAAATGTAAATGTGGCCTTGAACTAGTTCTCCATACTAATTATCTGCCTAACTATGTATAATCCATAACATCCAGTTTTCTAGAATGTTAACTTTTTTCAAAAAACATTTGAAATATTTTTTTTGTTCAGGCACCTTCATTCATATACAAAGACACTGCAGCTGCAATTATATACATCTTAAAAGCATAAAGCAATTATTTTTTGAAGAAAAAAATCCCAAAACAACTAAAACAGAAAATGATAAAAAGCTCAAAATCACAAAGACAATTTGGTAGACTAAAAAAAATCCAAGCTGTTCATCATCCTGGTAGATTGTCTCCTGAAAACTCTGCTGGCCAGGCAGGCAGAAAAACATGGGCCTGTGCCAGCCACAGGTCACCTCCTGGTGTTGCTAGGTTGTTGTCTGTCAATCCTGACAGCTTTGACACTGATGACCTAACTGACTGTTCTGAGATTACTGTGGGGTTTGCCCCTTTAGTATTTAATCTTTCCATGTTGGTGATTTTGGTTTGTTTGGGTTTTTTCCATCTTCAGTTCTCGAGCTTCAAGTGTTCCCCATCCTAGCATGTCTATAATTTTACCTTTTTCTTTCTTTCTATAGACTTTGTCTCAGCTCTCTTTGTAGTTCTCTGAGCCCAGGATATGCAGCTGGGCTGTATGAGAGCAGGTTCAGCTGAACTCTGGGGCAAGGGCAGGTTGCTCAAGGAGTTTGCAGAGCAGAAGTTATACATGTTAATACAGCTCTTCACTAATTGCCCGTAGATCAGTCTGGCATAGCCTGGGAGCTGGATGAGGCCATGGCAGCACAGTGTGGCTATACAGTAACTTACAGCAATTGGAGTAGCATTGAGTTTCGTGCTTCTGCAGCAAGCTGCCATTCTCACTTAGAGGTAAGTCTGTTATAAACACTTGGACCATAGTGCTGTTGTATATGACCTTTATGTGAAAGATGACAAAATTATTGATAGGTATTAATTGAAGTGTCATAATGTCTTGAACATCTATTAGCAGAAAATTATTGAATTCTTTTCAAATTTATCCTGAGATCTGAGTATATTCCATGGTACTGACTTTTGGATGGCCTACAGATGAACACGTGGAGTATATCATGTGCTCTTGAAGGGCAACTGTTTTCTTTTGGAATAAGGAGTTCTGTCTGGCAGCTGTGTTGCACTCTGCCCTAATATTGTTTAGTGTCTGAGACAGCTCAGGGTAAAAACTCAAGATTAGGCTGTTTTGTTTTGCTGGCTCATTGCTACTATGTCATAAAATCGGCTATAGTCTAGGTTTGGTTGATTTTTTTGTTGTTGTTGTTTGGGGTTTGGTTTGATTTTTGGTTTCTTTGTTTGTTTGGGGTTTTTTTGTCCAATTCTGAGCCTTGCAAAAGGACAAAGGTGCTGCCCAAAGTATTTTTGTTGCTGTGTAGCTATACAGCTATATACATGTATCTTATGGAGTTCAGTTGAAAGTGATAATGCTTCACTATGGAGTCATGCTTTTCTACTGAGGCTGGCGGGTGAGTTTTGTAGTTTACTTTTAGGTCATGAGAGTAGGTGGTGCCTAACTAGGAAAAAAATCAGAGTAACAAGCAAATCTTCCCCTTGTCCATGCAGAAAGATGTATTCACAGTAACTATACAAATCAAAGCATCTCGTACTCCTGATATGAAAAATGCTACATCTCATCTGAAAAGTGCAAGTTGCCATTATGGTCCACGGAGTTTGAGAGAGTTAGTATGTGAACGTAACTACATGGAGGTAAGTACTTATGAGAAAGTACTAAAAGTAAAGAGGTAAGTACTGTAAGATGCTCTCATGGATTTTTCTTTCCAATACATATTCCTAGCATCTAATCAGCTTCAGACTGCTCCACCATGAACAGATCACTAGTGAATGCACAGCATGCTGCTTGAGTTTAGTGATGCATTTATATTATGCTTGTATAGCCTACTTTTGAGCCCTAATAGCTAATAAAGTTGTGAAATGGTATGTAAACGGTTAAGCTAATGGATTGAACTCACTAAATATTGCCTCAACAACTCCATGTATACTTTCTGAAGGAAATTTACCTGCTGAATTCGCTGAAGAGGAATGCAGAGGTGGAAATAGACTCCTCTTGGAAGAGGACATGGGAGTCAAGAACAAACTCCTGGTCTTAACTAATAGAAATTAGAATACAGGCAGAAAATAAAAAGAAGCTGAAATCAAGCAGACTGTAGATAACACATAACATGATGGCATCTCCATCTAGGAAGTGGTGGTTTCTATTGAAAACAACTCGTAGGGTTTTGAAGACAAGGAAACAAGTGCTATCAGCAAACCCCTTACAGATGCTTTTTTCCTTCAGGTTTCTGTCAGGAAGGAGGTTCCACAGCCTATAAAAGACTTCATTCGAGATGCACCTGAGGACTGGAGTCTTGTCTTTCCAGAAGTAAAATAACAGGTTTTCTTCCTAGTAAAAGCTAGTGCTACCTCTGGCACAACCATTCCTCTATTCTATAACCACACAATACAAAATGTCCTTTCAAAAAGTACTTAAATAGGAAGAGGAAAACTTCTGTACCAAGTGGGTTTAGTATATTTGTATAGGTTAGAAATATAGGCAGCTGTAGACTATGTCTCCAAGGAAGAAATCAAGTCTTCCCCAGCTAAGAGACTGTGCAACAAAAACTGTCTTTAAGACCCCATGGCCCAGAAGAGAACTGTGGAGAGTTTTTTTTGTTCTTGGACCCTGTATTTGCAATGCTGCAGTGCAATTAATCTGTTGCTCTTAACATGGAAAGTCTTTGGGGTGTGTGGGGGAGATAAAGCTGGAGGGGTATCCCACTAGAAGTATTTAAAGGCAACAAAACTGCTGGGCAGTTCAATATAATAAATCATTCAATATAGTAAATCTGTTGCTTTGAACATCATGTTTAAACTACTGATGAATTTCTCTGGTAGGCAAAAGCAGAAGAAGCCTCGATATGGCAAATAGTATTTCATCAGCCAGAAGAAAAAAAGGCTCTGCTTGTGAGCGATGCTTGGAGTGCAGGTTACGGACTCAACACCACAGACACCAGGGTTGTGCTGCGAATACCACACACTGCTGCACAAGTTCAGCTGGTTGAGGTTAGTATGCTCTTTCTGGCCCAGCAAGCTGCCAAGCTGTGCAGGTCCAACCAGATCTCTTCCAACAGGATCAGGGAATTAACTTTTCTGTGGTGAGATCCAGTACATTTTATAAACATCGATGGATGATCCTGATGGTGGACACTACTGTGGCATGTCCTGTAGGTAAGAAATGTGGTATCCTTCTCCAGTGCTGAAATGTGCAGGGAAAGGCTTAAAACTAGAGTAATAAGCTGACAGCTTTCATATCTTGTCCCTAAGGTGGTGGGGATTACACTAACAAAACAATCACCTGGACTGTTCCAAAGTATTTTCCACCACTCTCTGCTGGAGCAACTAGCTTTAAGGATGTGCTTGTGGAAGCTGGTGTGGATCTACACAAACTCTCTGCTAAAGAAATGGCTTCCAGGAAATATGTGTTATCGAATGACTTAAATGCAATTATGATGAAGATTCCAATAGGTGCAGAAGGAGGCTATTATAAGGTTAGTGACTTACATTAGGTACTGGGCGAGCAATATTCTGGCTTTTGGGGGTTTTTTTGTTGTTTCTGGGTTTGTTTGTTTTTTGAGGAGGAATAATTCTTCATCTCGTTCCTTTCAAATGAAGGATGGGCATGAGGGAGAACAAAGGGTTTATTAAAACTCCAGAAGCCCTGACCAAAGATAGCTTTTGTAAGCACCACTTTATGAAGAATTTCTTTTCTTGCAAACACAGATGGATGCAATCCTACACAGAACTATTGATTTGTCTCTTTCCTCAGGCTAACAGAGAGCTTTCACCTATTAGTCCTGATGTCATACGCCTTGGAGACAGTCCTAACAGGACTGTAAAGCATGCAATGGGTTCCGTTGTATTTTACACAGACCACTTAAGAGAACGGGAACAACCCATTTGTCCAGCAGACCGTGTGATATTAGGATGGGCTGAGACTATACATCTAAGTCTAGTTGTCTGGAGTGAACTGAGTTCTGGGCAAATATAACAACTGAAGTTCCAAGGAAGTTGCAGGAGAAGCCCTTTCACTGTGAAATAGTCCCCTGCTGCTTTGAAACTTGGGAGTGGGAGGCAATTTTCCAGTGGAAACCTTCTGAGTATTCTGAGATAATCTAAATTCACAGGGATATGAAAGTTCATGATTCCTGAGCAGAGAAGAGTAATTGCTTGGAGCTATGCCTTTAGCTGACCTTGAGACGCTTCAATATAACTTTATGTAAAATCATGCTATACTAAAGGGTGCTGGTTTGAAATTCTAGACTTCTGTGAGCAGTGGACAGCTTGGGGCAAAATACACCATCAACCTGTTCCTGGAACACCAGTGGGAAGACAACAAATGGGGACTAACTAAACATACTATCATCAAGGAAATAGAAACACCATTTGAACAAGTAGAACTTGCTATAACCAACAGTAAGTAGCTGAACATTGAATTTATTCAAGGTTTTGGTACTCTTAAGAGCTTAATGTTATTTTCCTTTTCAGATTCAAATCTGAGTACAAGGTTAATGAATGTGACAGTGGGAACATTCCTCCCAGATGTGGAGCTTATGAACTTAACCATTGAGGGAGTAACTCTTGCTGTACCTCAAGCCATTCAGCATGGATATATAATATACAGGACCAGATATTCTAATGGAAGCAAAGCATACATAATACAAGTCCCACTTGATGCCCCAAGCATTAAGAAAGAGGTGTGTACTAAGACACTGTGCCATATCATGGTATAGAGATGATGATATCACTTGGTGATTTTTCATGTCTAAATATGATTTTCCTAGTATGTGAGAGACAACATGAGAGCATACACCCTGAATGTCACACTCACATTCATTACCAGTCCATCAAGGGAGACCTTCACTGTCCCAGTCATAACAGTGTCAGCTGTGAGAGATGCAGGTAAACTTAGTGGAACTTGGGCAAAACTGTACCAAACTGGCTATGAACTCTACTGTTAACTGGGCTGCTTTCAGCTGTCAGTCCCAAATAGCTGTGATAAAGTGATCACAGCTAGCATGCTGGCTGACTCTTGGCCCTCTTACAGTACTGCCCAGTGTGAGAGGATTTTGTGATGGGAGGAACCTTCATCTCATTATCACTCATGGGAATGTGGACCAAAACTGGCTACCCTTCATCTCAGACTGGCACCTGACCCCCGAGGCAGCACAGAAGTACAACTACAGTCTGAGGGACAATGGCACTCACTTGGCAATCTCTGTCCCTTTCCTTTCTCCCCATGTGAACTATGAGGTAAGGGTTCCAGCATGTGGCAATTAAAAGGCATGCTCTAGCTGTGGAATATCAACATGATACAGTATGTCCTTGAAGGTGAAATAAAACTTCCCTTTGAGATAAACTTCAAAGGAATAATGGAGGATTATTTTCTGCCCTTGGAAGAACACTTTAGTTTCCCTTGGTTAACGCTGGCAGAAATAGGCAAGAAAAAAAACATATTCTGCTTGTACTTTAAGCCTGAGCACTTTTAAAGACAACTGTACATGCGGTGGAGTTTGTATTGCATTCTATTGCAAAAAAACTGGAAAAGCTCACTGTGTGAGCTTCTGGATTAAAAAGATATAGCCTGAGAATTTGTCTTTGCTCAAGCACCATTACCTTTGCCTTGTCATAACCTACCCTCTCAGCTTTTGAATGCTTTAGTTGAACAGTGTCTTTATTCTCTTGTTTAACCCATGATTTTCATCTCTAGGGTTTTCATACTTCTGGAATAAAAGCTTCACTCTACTTAACCTTGAAGGATGGCATCACCTTGGCTAATAGGAGGGACTTCTCAGTTTCCTGCAGATTTTCACCTTCAGAGCTAATACGTAATAGCATTTTGGGGATTAGCTATTAATGTTATTTGAGTTCCAAAACTAAGTCAAGTAGTCTGAAATGTTTCTAGGGCTTATGCTTGTATGGCACTCTATTTGGCTGTCAGATTTCCTACCAATTAATATGCAACGAGGCAAGTCAAATTACATATTGTAGTGACTATCTTGCCTAGTATGGGAGGAGGGGAAGGAGGTGGGAAACTTTACTTCCCCTCACCTCCAACATCATGAAGCTTTTTTTTTATAGGGTTTTTGTGGCTCTTTGGAGAGTTGAATGAAATGGGGTTTTTGGTGGGGCATGGGGAGAATCAGCATATAAATAAGTAATTCTAAAGTTACTCATCAGTATTAAATGTCCTGAATATTGGCTAGAAAAACCCTTTTGAAAGAGGATAAGAGTTCCTTGTGAGCTACCAAAGAACTTGCTGGAAAATCTGTGAAGAACCTTTTTATCGTTAGACTACAAAAGGAGTTTGGGTCCTGATTTGTGTGAAAATATAGATTTCTCTTTCAGAATGCCTGCCCAATGGCACTGTGATTATTACTGCAATAAAAATGGTAGGTATTGCAGACTTGGACATTAGTCTGCTTGTCTTGAGGGACAGACAGTGCAAACCCAGTCTAGTGACAGAGAAGACTGCAACCTTCAAGTTCAGTGTGAACACTTGTGGAACAATTAGAAAGGTAAGGGTTTAGTCACGTGAAGTTTACTCTGCACTGGAATGGGGTTATTGCTAGAATGGGCAGAGGTTCAGAGTTGAGCAGAAGCTGTGAGAAAGTCACAGCTGACTTTTTGTTAAGTAGTACATCTATGCTTTCTCTCCAAGGGTACTAAATTGAGTTGGGCAGAAGTTCTTATCTGGAAAAAAGAAAAAGCTTTTCAAGGTCATAGGTGCTTTCTGAAACTAGCCTTCAGTTTGCTGCCTCCGAGTTGTTTAGTAGGGGACTTGAATGCAAGTTTATGATGTTGAGATATACTCATATGCCTTGCAGAAGCTGTTTAGGTGTTGCTAATGACTGTGTGGACGAAGACTAGTGTGAGCACTATTGCTACACCTATGTACTGTATACGCAGAAAACAGACAAAATAACATAAGATCAGAACACACTCAAATTCAGGTCATCAAAAAAGTAGCTTGTTTCTGTGGTGTTGCATCTCGTTCTATACACTGATTCAGTGAACAGCAACAGCTGATCCTTTTCTCAGGCCTTATGTACTCCCCTTCTGGGGTGTTATGTCATATTCGAGGTAATAATCTTTCTTCTTGACTATGGCATATCTGCCTGCTACGGTCAACTTTAGTTCAGTAAACATAAGGCTATTAGCTGGTCTGGCCATTTCTAAGTGTTCTCTGCTCAGTGCAATCTGCCAGTTAAGTGAAGGGACGTAAATTTTGTGTCAAACACAAAGTAAACTCTAATGGGATTGTCCTGTTTGTAATGATGTGTATCTTTTCAGTTCAACAGCATGACTATGACATATGAGAATGAGGTACTCTATTTCAGACCTGGCAATGATACACCAGTATACCAGTAAGTGTCATTCCCTAGAAGAAGGTTGTATGTGTTATTTTGGTTGTAAAAATCTAATGTTAAACTTCTTCTCTCAGGCTGAAATTTGTCTGCTCATATGCAGTCAAGCAGGCTGTTGATGTCCGATATGAATCTAAGAAGAACCCACTGCCTCATGTTAAGCCAGGGTTTGGCTCTCTCGCTCTTTCGCTGAAGCTCTTCAAAGGTAACATTTACGATTAGACTGTATAGAATCACTGAATGGCTGAAGTTGGAAGGGACTTGAAGACGATCTTATCTATCCACTCTGCTCAAGCAGGGCCACCTAGAACAGGTTGCCTGGGACTATTTTGAATATCTTAAAGGATCAGGTGAAAATCTTTTTAAGGCCTCTAACAGGGGTTTTCCTTTCCAGAATGCAGATAAATGGCCAAAAAACTGTAGTGGAACAGACCTAGCATCACTGATGCATGTATAGTTTTTCCTGCTTGGTCTGGGCATGATATGAGTTTTGTGTAGTGGCTGTGATGTCAGCTTCTTTCTCCTATCATTTCCTAAGTTTTGCTAAGGTGGCTTAGCACTGACCAAAGTAGTTGCAACCTGTGCCAGAGAGAGAAGCTACATGCAATACTGCTGTAAAATAATACCTATAATAGCAGAAAGGGCTGACTGAAGCCTTAACTAAATGTTCACTCTGACTGGAGTGGCCTTGATGAATTTTTTTACTGTTTTTCCCTTCTCAGTACCTTTACCAAGATAGTTTTGAATTAGCATCTTAATCTAATGGATTTTTGCAGCAGGAGTGTCTCAATTATGGATCCTCAATGCCAAGGAAAACAGTTGATTTTTACTTTCATTGCTGGATTTTACTTTTCTGTCATTCTGTTTTGATTTGTTGTCCCAAATTTTGTATTACTGTGCCAGCGTAAATGGTGATGAAGAGTGAAGCAGAAAGTTTCTGAATATGTCCTCTGCAAAAACAACTCTATCAATGCTCTCTTTTAGAGGAATCCTATTCAGAACCCTACCAGGAATCAGAATATCCTGTAGTAAAATACCTGAGAGAGGCACTGTATTTTGAAGTTGAACTGCTCCAGCCTAAAGATGCAAGACTGGACCTCAACCTGGATGACTGTTGGGCTACAAACTCCCAAAGCCAGGACAGCCTTCCACAGTGGCCCATTCTTATAAATGGGTAAGGAGGGCTTCCCTCCTCTGTTTGGTAACTGTTCAGTACAGAGTCCTGTACTTTAGGTGGGAGGAAAGGGGAAGAGGATAGAAGTCAGCTTGGATGCATTGTTCTGCCCTGCTGGGCAGTGGCTGCTAGGCCATGGGGCATGTGTTGGTGTCAGCACAGTGGCTGTGCCTTCTGGTGGCAGCAGGTCATGGAGGTGGCCAGAAGTGCTTCTAGCTAACAGCTTTCAGCTGGAAAGAAAGAACAAGAAATACCCCTGACTGTGGCCAAAAACAGGAATCATGAGCTGGGGAGGCTCTATCCATTCCCCTGTGAGTCAAGGCAAACAGAAGGAAGGTCCCCTGTATCTCACCTCCTTGCTGTGTTTAAAGATCTAGTTGAAGGTTTAGATTAAGAACATTTTCTTTCTCTTTTCCAAAAAGGTGTGAAAACAACAAAGACTCCTACAGAACTGTCTTCCATGAAGTTAATTATAGTCTCAGAGTAGAATTTCCTCAACACCTAAAGAGATTTGAAGTGAGGATGTTCACCTTTGTACAGAACTCAACTCTGTTACAAGAGCAGGTGAGATGTCTCTGTGTTCTGTTATGAGCTGTTGGCAGTCCCAACAGGTGAGCCTGGAGTGGTGCCTGCAGCCAATGCTGTGTAAGCCCTTAGGTGGCCAGGTGTGCCTGGGGCTATTGGCCATCTCCTTGAAGGCATAACATTCTAAGAGGAGTGAATAAAGGCCAGCCACTTAAGTGTTCAGTTCATAGAACAGAATTATAGAATCATCTAGGTTGGAAAAGACCTCTAAGCTCCTCAAGTCCAACCTCTGACTGAATACCATCATGCCCACTAAACCATATTGTGGAGTGCCACATCTACTCATTTTTTGAACCCTCCCAGGTATAGTGACTCCACCACTTCCCTGGGGAGCCTGTTCTGATGCTTAACCACTCTTTCAGTGAAAAAAAAATTTCCTAATATCTGACCTGAACCACTCCTGGCACAACTTGAGGCCATTTTCCCCTTGTCTTTTTGTTAGTTGCCTGGGAGAACAGGCAAACCCTCACCTTCCCACAACCTTCATATCCTTTGGGGTCAGTACACATGGAATGCCAAATAAGACTTCCCTAAACATGATGTGAATATTCTTGTCTTGTAGCTGTATTTCCACTGCAGTGTGGTGATCTGCAACACCAAGCAACAGCCTTTAGACTTTCTTTGTCCAAGGAGATGCAATCCTGGGAAACACAGACTTGGTAAGAAAGCAGGCACTTCTCAAGTCACTTTGCTCAGCACTATGGCATGTGCTTTCATGAGCTGTGTCAGATGACAGTCTGCTGTACAGAGAATTAAAAGCTGAAATGTCTCATCAGCCCGCAGTGCAGAACCACATCTGCATGGACAAGTGTCATCTGGAGCAGTGCTTTTTAGAAAGGAAAACAACTAGCATAGGTAGGCATCAATCTTAAATTACACTACTGAAACACCAGGCATACTGCTGTTGTAATGTAAGAGTTCTGTGTACTTCTCTTCTCCCTTCAGGTGACTGCACTGACTTCTGACAGAGACTAAAGAACTTATTTTTGTGAAGTTGCAATTAGGTGATCTGAGTGAGCACAGCCTGGTGCCCAGATTCACAAATCAAATAATTTCAACAGCATCTGATGGGAAAATACACTGGCAGTGTCTACTGAGAAAGGAGTCTGCTAACCAGTATTGGATGTAACTTTGTGTTTAAACTGTGTGCTGCTCTCCTCTGTTCCTCTACAGCATTAAACTCTTAGTCTTTTGTGTTACTTGCATCTGACCTAGTCTGCTCAGCTAACATGTCCAAAACTTGCGTCACTTTGCAGTTGGAATCATCTGTTTGGGGGTAGGGGAGAAGGGTTGGCAGCAAGTGTGAAGTCAATTGTAAATCACTTTGAGCTTTTTTTTTTTTTTTAAGCTTCAGTATGAACAAAGGGTTGCAGAGAGCTTAATGTCAGTAAGTGAAAGCGGTTTTTTTGGAGCAAGACGGGGATGAAAATGCTTGATTCTGTAGTGGCTGTTGACAGAAAAGCCATAAACCGAATCTTGCAGGAGTGTTGTGGCTCTGCAATGTCAAGTTTCCTTCCCTAGGTGGAGTAAAATTGCTCACAGGTAGCGTCAGTGACTGCTTAGCTGAGTATGCTGTCAACCAACCTACACGAAAACAAGCTTTTAGTAAAGACTTGTAATAGAATCTGTGTACTATCATTACTACTATCTGCAAAGTGTTAAGGATTCTTCCTTACCTTGAGAACATGATGCTTATGAGCTCCTGTCAGATTTTCCTGTCTCTTTTTTAATGGGAGAAAAATTTCTTTGTTTCTTCTTTGCGTCTGAACAGTGGTATGAAAACAGTTCAGATACAATATTTTATGTTCCTGTTCTAAGGAAAGATATCGCTTAGCATGAATCATTATCCCTTAGGCTAAATAGACAATAATGGGTGTCTGCTTTTTAACTTTATATTAAAGAGAATTCTACTACGGGAAATTTCTGTAAAGGCTAACTTGAGCAAGAAACTATTTTGTGAATCTATTTGCACTTTGTGAGAAAGCTCGGCGTTGAAAAGATTGTATCTCTGTTGCTACAATACCTGTATAGAGATCTCACTAAACAGTTGTGCTATAATTACAGCTCATATTTGTAAGTGTTGTTTGTCTTCCAGTTGCCTGCTAAGCACATCTGTAGTAGATATGTTACTGTCATTTCTGGAAAAATGTGTGTGGGCTTCATGATGAGGATGTATCAAGGCCATAGCTCTGCATCAAGACTGGTTTTCCATAGAGGAGGCTACACACAACGTAGGCTGCCCCAAGCAGCCTGAGCCACCTTCTCCTCTCTTACAGCTCTGTGTGGGGCGAAATATATCAACTAGAGACTGCTGTGAGAACCAAGTATGCAGCTGGGCAGCCTGTTTCAGTACTGTTAACTCTGTCTCAGTTATGGCTTCCTGGGTTTGCAATCCCTTTCTTTGAACCACGAATAAAGGACAACATCACTCAGTAATAGAAATCTGGTATTTACAATCTCATCTAAGGCACTCTCCTTTATTTTCATCCAAGGTGATACACAGGTACACTGTGGCCCTACTGTTCAGCTCTTCTAAAACCTTTGTTTAGTGCCATTTTAAAGACGAGACGTGTAAAGGATCATCTTATCTATTAAACTTTTTGATATGTGGGAAAATTCAAGGACATTTCCCTCCATCGTTGGACTAGGATTTTTTTTAAAACTTCTTGTCAGATTTTCCAATAATGTGTGAGAGACACAGAATCCATTTGACTATCAGTAAAATCTTTTAAAGACATGATGGTAATATTCTCTCTACCTCAGAGGTGTCTGTTTATACTAAAATTCAGGAACTGCCTTCCTGGTTATATATATATATAAAAAAAATCTTCAAGTGTTTTGTCAACACCTCTTTGCCTTTTAAGTGGATATTTTATGACCACATGCTTTTCCCCTGGTATTTGGGATGTTATTTTTATATCCCTGTTAACACGAGTTGAAAGCAGATCAATCTTCTTTGTTTATGCTTAATGTCTTCTTCAATTTCAACAGGTGAATGATAAAACTATAAGGGAAAAGAGAAGTATGGTGTGATTTGTTTTTACAGTTAAATAGGAACAATAACAGAAATGTACTGCAGATAGTTATTTCCATTTCAAATAAATGTTGATAAGTCACTGCTACAAGTAACCTTATTATATCTCATCACTGACAGAAAAGTAGAGATCTCATCTTTACTATAGTCTACATTCAATGACACGGCTACTATTTTAAAACTCTACTGCTTTGGTGATTTAAAGCAGCAACAACTTACTATTAATACTGAAAAACTAGGAAAACTGGCATTTTTTTTTTCTGGCCCAATTAATTTTCTTCTTTTTTGCATATTCCTTTGCTTTTTCTTTGAAATCACCATGTCTTCAGTAAATGCAATGCACCTCTTTCCAGAGGAAAATATGTTCTGACAATGATCGAGTGATTTGGGAAGTTATGTTCAAGTTTTGGCTTCTGCCACAAGTTTGAGTCTTCAACTAGTTTGCCCCATATAATTTCTACTTTTATTTGTGCATGTGAGTCCAGAAACACCTAAATAGTGTTAGTTAGAATGCCAGAAGGGCATGTGCTTTGAAAGAAATGCTCTAAAGCATAAGTAAGCTGAATTTTTCTCTTTATCATAACACCGAGTACTGTAATAGAGCAAAGCTGGGCTCATGTTGGTGTGTAAAGAAGCAAAAAGTCAGGGCCTTGATCAGGGAGGAGATTCAGATGGACTTGATTCTATAGCATGTTATAAACAGGCTGCTCTACTGGGATCTGTGACTTATCACAATTGGGTTTCCTGTCTGTTAAATGCAATACTAGCATTTGTGGTTGCATGGCAGATAAGTTGGGGAGTAACAGTCAGATACTGGCTCCTTAGAAGTTGATGTATGTGTGTATTCCTGTGGGGTATTTTTTAGCTACTGCCAGGCAGAGCTGGAGGGGATGGCTCCTCGCATCCCTAGTCAGAGGGGATGTGGAGCTGTGGCAGCTACCAGATAAGCAGCTCTCCCAAGGCATTGGATGAAACACATTTGCAGGAGGTTTTCTTTGCCCCAAGCACACCTATGTGCAGCCCAAATGTGTCACCATAAAATCTCTTGGCACCTACATGGTGCTCCTCAGCATAGAATTTCAAAGAACTCTGTGTTCGGGCAGCCCCAGGCTCCCCTCTGCTTTGGGGGCTGAGGGGGAGTGAGTTCTGTGGCTTACAGAGCCAGGGCTTGCCCAGGGAGTTCCTTCCATGTGTGATCCTTTAACTGGGGAGAATATTCTCTCCAAGGTACTTATTCTTCCCCCTCAGAGGGAATTTGACCTGCTTGCCAGCTTCAGGGTCTGTGTCTAGGTATTAGTGCTGCTGGCAGGCAACACACTGCTGCATCATTTATATAGGGTCGGCAGAGAAGTTGTCATGCTCCTGGATTCAGGTGGAAAGTGTGCCCTGCAGTGTGAAGCTGTACTAGTCTCCTGAATTTTGTGCTAATACCCTACCTGCTAGACCTCCTCCTATCCATTGCTGTGCCTCCTGCTAAAGAAAGCAGCATCATGTATTTTCACCTGCACCAGAACAGCTTCTAGTCCCTGAGGTAGAAGAAGAAAGCCAGAGCCTTTTCTCATATCACTGAGAGCAGCAACTGCTCCCTTCAGCACCACCCACTGCCTGACTCTTGGCACCAAAGGAGTTAACTGATATAAAATCCATTATATGTAACTGCCTGCTCTGCCATGCCTTTTTCTTCCCTAATAAAAGGGTCAGGGTGGGTGTGGGACTGAAATCCCTCTTTTTCCCTGGCTGCTGAAACTTCTAGCACTCTGTCTCTGCAGTTACACCTGGAGCCCCTCAGTAATTCACCCAGAAAGGAGGCAAGGGCGTAGCTCTGAACGTGAGGAACTGCTCAGGAAACAGCTGGTGGAATCTAGTCATCTCACCTATGATTTGGTGCCTCTTGCTCATTTCTCTTGCCCTCAGCTTGCTTCTGGGCTGTTTCTCTCTGGCTCAGTGCAAAATGTATGTTTTAAGGCCTGAAAATATCTGTTTAAAGGGCAAAATATATCTACTTGTGTGCAGCAACTAGCTCTGGAAGGAACAGGATGGTAATAATCTCATCAGTAAACTGAGTGAAGCCTAGTAGTTCAAATTGCCAGTTTTCTGTATCTTGAGGCTTTTCATGAGATTCTAAAATCCATTTCAATTAATTAGTTTTTGTACAAGATCTTATAATGTACTCTACCCCTTTTCTCTTTTGCATTTCAAGACTGTCCTGCTGCCCTTTCATCTTCATGGCTATTCATGGAGTATGATTTCATGTACCAATTTCTTGTAAGAAAAGACTGAATGCAGTAGAAAACTATGTTTCAGTGGTGATGGTTTCCTTTTTAATATTCATATTTTGCTCTCCAAGTGAGTAAGGAATTTCAATGACATGTTAACCTGCAAAAGGGAGAGCTCTTGGGGACAGAAGGGTTACTTTAATTGTGTAGGACTGACTCCAGTTGAGTCTCCTATATCTTTTTAGCATGGGAAACAACTCTATCCATTAGGCAGAGTGTAATTTAATTTCTCAGTCATGATCTTTTAGCTACTTTAGCTTTATTTCCATGCATATTTTTAAAATACCATGTTGAAAGAAAATGCTTGTATGTGAGAGATATCCTCTACTTCTGTGACTTGTGAAACTTTTTCAGACTGGGTTTCCACTTTTTTTGCCTCTCTTCTATGGATTATTGTGGTATCACTGTTATAATTCAATGGAGCTTTAAGAACCTTACAGTTCTGAAAATTAGAAATAACTTGATCTCTTACATATCAATTAGATATCCTAAACTCCTGGGCCTAAAGGAAAAAGAAGATGAACCTTAACTGTATTAAATTTTGTTGAAAAACAATAAAATAGAACATTTAATAGCAGCAGGATTTGTACCTTCTTATACCATGAATACAATAATTCACATTATTTTCTCTGGACCAGTGAAATGTCCATGCCAAGGGGAAGAAATACAAAGATGGAGCTTATAGAGA